GTTGAACACATTAATTAGACTTACTAGCTGAAAAAGCTGATTTTGAGGGCTGGGAAAGAATAAAGGCTTCTATTAACACTGGTTTTCCATATGAAAGACAAGTGAGTTTTCCTAGGACTAGCCTGAAGAAGAAAAATGCTACAATCTGAATTAAGCAAATTTGAGTTTCCATTATAGATATACGAATAGAGTTGACAGAGAGAAAGAGATGGAGGGAGGAGACAGAAATAGCAATAAATCTAGAAATACAATAAAACAGAAATCAGAAAAGCAGAAAGGAGTTACCCAGTCAAATTTAAGCTTTCACAGATTTTAGGATTGATAGGCTGCAAGGAATCACTACTTTAGATGTGTTGGTCATTGGCATTTAAAGGCAAAACTCATAGAACATGGAATTGTAACATTTGAAATGTATCTGGAAATGCACATAAAAACTCAAAGACCAGGTAACTAATTTGATGTCTACACATCCAGCTTCCGATCAGAATAGCTGCTGTCAATATCACGTGAAAAAATTACAACAATGCCATTTACTGCATTTAACCTGCTTTATTCTTTATTTGTTCTTAGTTGATCTGTTTGCATGTGAGATAATGTAAACATAAGAGGGGTTTAATGTTGTAGCTTAAGGAGACTGAGTAATTTGTGAGCCAGGGCTTAGAGATCGAATTGAGTATTACCAGAAAACCTGTGACATTCTGGAAGAGCAGAATGCATTGTGATGCGGACATCAGACATTTAAGAAGCACACTGCAAACCCTGGTGACTAATCAACCACTGAGCTGTTTATATGCAGTGTTAAACGAGGCCCTTCCCACCCACTGCCCCCTGATTTCAAGGTTAATAGTTGGTGAGAAGGCAGAGGGCATTTGATCAAGGATAGTCTCTACCAAATTCACTACTGTTTTCACTGTCTGCAGCTCCAAGACAGAGGGATGATTCCCACTCACAGTTTCCAGTGCTCCAGAGGCCAAGGGAAGATAGACTAAGGATGATGAGGATGGCTCATCCCCAGAGTCTGAGAGACGATGACAAGGACACATGATGGCACAAATGCGAACAGATGCCTGATCATAAAACCCAGAGACGCAGATTCATCTGACACCTACCCTGAAGCCGTTATCTGCCACCGTCAGCTACCAGAGCCACAACCAGTCTCTCTAAGCCCATCTATTCTGAATACATTTACAACTTCTAATTGCACACATTCAGATGAAGCAGCAGCCAAGTAGGTCTCCAGAGGAAAACGCTTTCTCAGGAGTGTTTAAAATCTCCAGGCTCTTCCCTTCATCATCCAATAGCAAGACCAATGGAACAATCAACCCCGAGACTATGGAACTTGATGACAAATCCTTCTCCTGCTAAACATCATGAATCTTAGTTACAATGCCACTGCGTCCTGTGATGTATTGAAGACAGACTAACCTTACAACAGGAAATTGAAAATGGGCCCACTCGTTCTGAGTAAATGCTCCATGTAACCGATATGACGAAGCAGCCGGGGTCGTGTGGGTCGTCTGTAATTCTGAGAAGAGCCATGCTAGTGTGGCTGAGATTGATGAATACACCACGAAAACGACTTCTGATAAAATGCTTGAAAATTTTTCTTTTCAATAGGATTTAACACGGATCTAGAGTATGTGGTAGAGGCTTTCCTTCAAGTGTTTTCTGTTTCATTTTGTTTTAGTTCTGGGACACGTGTGCAGGATGTGCAGCTTTCTTACACAGCTAAACATGTGTCATGGTGCTCATCTATCAGCCCCTCACCAGCAAGCATTAGCTATTTTTCCTGATGCTCTCCCGCCGCCCCCAGCGCGACCCTCCCGGACAGGCCCCAGGGTACATTGATGCCCTCCCTATGTCCATGTGTTCTCATCGTTCAGCTCCCACTTTTAAGTGAGAACATGCAATGTTTGGTTTTCTGTTCTTGTGTTAGTTCACTGAGGATAATGGCTTCCAGTTCCATCCATGACCCTGCAAAGGACATGATCTTGTTCCTTTTCATGGCTGTATAATATTCCATGATGCATATGTACCACCTTTTCTTTATCTAGTCTATCACTGATGGGCATTTGGGTTGATTCCATGTCTCTGTTTTGTGAATAGTGCTGCAATGTACATACGCGTCCATGTTTCTTCGTAACAGAATGACTTATATTCCTTTGGGAAATTCCCAGTAATGGCATTGCTGGGTCAAATGGTATCTTTGTAGAATTGCCACACTGTTTTCCAAACTTACATTCCCACCAGCAGGGTAAAGTGTTCTTATTTCTCCACGAGCTCACCACCATTGTTTCTTGACTTCTTAATAATTGCCATTCTGAATGAGAAGCAATGTTATCTCATTGCGGTTTCGATTTGCGGTTCTCTAATGATCAGTGGATGATGAACTTTTGTTCATACGTTATTTGGCTAATGTACATCTTCTTGTTTCAAGGCTTTAGCATGAAAACAGACTTGGGGTGTCTTTCTGTTGGCGGAGGGCAGAGAATTGATTTTGCAACTTCAGTCTCTTCTTAGAAGTTTGCAGGAGGCTGGGCATGGTGGCTCAAGCCTGTAATCCCAGCACTTTGGGAGGCTGAGGCAGGCAGACTACTTGAGGTCAGGACTTCAAGACCAGCCTAGCCAACATGGTGAAACCTTATTTCTCCAAAAATACAGAAAATTAGCCAGGTGTGGTGGTGTGCACCTGTAATCCTAGCTACTCAGGAAGCTAAGGCAGGAGAATTGCTTGAACCAGGAGACGGAGGTTCAGTGTAACAAGATTTTACAGAAATTGACAAGTTGAGCCCCAAATTTAAATTGATATTCAAAAAAACACGAAGAGCTAAAATATTTCTGAAACAAAGATATTGACAAACACTACTTGGTTTCTAGAGTTACTATAAACCTACAGCAACAAGACAGCATGGTACTAGAATAAAGATAGACATAGATAATGAAACACCACATACAGTCAACTGACTTTCAACAAAGGCACCAGAGCAATTCAACGAGCAAAGAGAAACATTTCCAATAAATGACGCCGGAATCATCTGGATATTGTTAAGAAAAACAAAACAAATTTTTATCCCTACCTCATACCACACACAAAAAGTAATTTTACATGGATTTATAATCCTAAATGAAAGAGCTACAGCACTAAAACTTCTAAAGACACTAAAAGAAAAGGAAAGAAAAAAAGAAAGAAAGAAAGAAAGAAAGGAAGGAAGAAAGGAAGAAAGACATTGTTGTGACCACAGGGTAGGTAAAGATTTTGTAGACAGGACCCAAAAGCACTAACTATCAAAGAAAAAATTTGGTAAACTAGACTTCAATCAACTTTAAACCTCTTCTGCTCGTCAAAGACGTGGTTAAGCAAATGAAAATATAAATGAGAGAATGGGAGAAAATATTAATGATATATTTATCTGACAAAATGCTTGTACCTGGAATATAAGGAAGTTCTACAAACCAGTAATTAAAAGACACACACAATTGGCTAGACACTCACAAAACAAGAGACATGAATGGTCAACGTGCACATAAAAAGATGCTGAACAAAATTCATCATCATGGAAATGAAACGTAGAAGAATGACAGCGAGACACCGTTTCATTATCTCCCTAGAAAAATTAAAATTAAAGACTGTTGGCCAGGAGCAGTGGCTCACGCCTGCAATTCAGTACTTTGGGAGACCGAGGCAGGCAGATCACCTGAGGTGATCTCAACTCCTGAGGTCAGGAGTTTGAGACCAGCCTGGCCAACATGGTGAAACCCCATCTGTACTAAAAATACAAAAATTAGCCAGGAGTCATGGTAGGCGCCTGTAATCCCAGCTACTCGGGAGGCTGAGGAAGGAGAATTGCTTGAACTTGGGAGGCGGAAGTTGCAGTGAGCTGAGATTGTGTCATTGCACTCCTGCCTGGGTGACAAGAGCAAGACTCCATCTCAAAAAAAAAAAAGGAAAACAAGCCAAAAGTTCATCAACAGAAGAAGAGATAAATAATTTGTGATCTATAGAATGGAATACTCCACTTAGGTGAAGTTCAAGAACAGATAAAACTAATGTAAGATAAGAAAAACTAGACTAGGAGTCGCCTATAAATAGTCAGGAATTAAATATGGAAGAGGGCCTGAGAGAACTTTCTTGAGTGGTGGAAATGTTACCTTGATTAGGGTATTTGTCACATGGGTATATACATTTGTCAAACATTTACCTAATTTTATACTTGAGAACTCTGCATTTCACTACATACAAACTTCAGAATTTCTTTTTTAAAAAAGGATGAGTTCACTCTATTCCACCACTGACAAAATGAGCAAGGAAGGCAGGTTAGAGTGGCAAGTGAGGCTTGATTTCATTTTTGTCTCTTAAAAATCATTATTTACATGTAAAATTGTTGAGGAAGATCGTATCAAACATTAATAGCAGTTCTTTTTTGGTGCTGAAATTTCAAATGATTTAAATTTTTATTGCATTTTTTGGCCAGGCATGGTGGCATATGCCTGCAGTCCCAGCTACTTGGGAGGCTGAGGCAAGAGGATCGCCCGAACCCGGGAGGTGGAGGCTGCAGTGAGCTAGATCACACCAGTACCCTCCAGCCTGAGCAACAGAGCGAGACTCCATCTCAAAAAGAAAAAAATTGTGTTGTATTTTCTGATATTTTCTCATTTTCTACAATGGTAAATTAATTATATGTGTAATTAATAAAGTAAAATAAAATGAACACATAAGGTTGTTATTCTTATAAAGAACAAATGTCACAGGAAATGATACTGAAAATTTGGGAAGCAGGTGCTAAAAACAGCATCAGAAAGGCCCAGAGCCCCTCTCTCTCTGGCTTTCTAGCCCTGCTGTTCCTCAAAAAGATAAAACCACTCATGAAGTTGTAGACAGAGGAAAATTAAACTTGTTCTCCCTGATAACCACTTTTTCAAAACCACATGAACGTCAGGTGCTCCTGAAACTGACTGCCAAGAGGCATTTCATCAAAATCCTCTAAGGTTTCATATCTCACCTGAACGTTGAAGAAAGGTATTCCAGTTAAAGGCGGCATTTGGTGTTGTTGCAATTCCTGGGTCAAAGAAACAAAGAAAGAGAAAGTTCACTTTGATGCAACTACCAAAATATAACCACTGATTTTGTGTTGAAGCTTATTATTATTATTTCTGAGACACAGTCTTACTCTGTTGCCCGGGCTGGAGCACAGTGCCATGATCTTGGCTCACTGCAAAGTCCTCCTTCCAGGTTGAAGTGATTCTCCTGGCTCAGCCTCCCAAATAGCTAGGATTATAGGTGCCTGCCACCACACCTGGCCAAATTTTGTATTTTCAGCAGAGACAGCATTTTGCCATGTTGGCCAGGCTGGTCTCAAACTCCTGACTTCAAGTGATGGACCTGCCTCAGCATCCCAAAGTGCTGGGATTACAGGTGTAAGCCACCACGCATGGCCCACTTGTGTTGAAGTTTAATTAATGGAAGCGCCTGGTTTTTATAAAGCCACTCCACGCTCTGAGTGGACCACTGAAGTCCCATGAATCCCACAGCACAGAGGGTTAAAGAGAGCCCACAAATTCCACAGGAGAAAAGACCCACCCCTTTCAGCCCAGTATCCATGACAGGCCCAAACTGGGTTAGACAAACCAGGAGTTCCTTAAAAATGCCAGAAAGTAACAGTTTTCAAAAACACTGTCAACTAAACAGCCCAAGTAAACAGGTATAATAAAAATTATACCTCCCTTCAGAAGTCCACTCTCAACCCTCACCAACTCATGTCTGACAGTCTGCTGTCTATTACTTCCTCGGAGAGAGAAGCTACATTTAATTTTTGCTGAAAAAAAAAAAAATGAGTATTTTGCAATTGAGAAAATCCAGAGGCAACATCTAACAGATTATTTTGGTAGCAGAAACATTTTGAAATTGTATAAAATGTAAGTAAATCAAGTCATCTAACAGCCTCTAAAACCTGCATAATCATTATTCGCACTGACTGATGCTGACAAGGGCTATTTAAGGATCGCCCCTCCAAGCCAGCTAACCCTAACCATGCAGGCACTTGCCACACGCCACTGTAAGCCTCAAAGGCCCACTGAGCAGACTGGTTCCTCCAGTTTATCCAGCTGGAAACTGAGGTTCAAACAGGTTAAATAGGCTTCAAAATGCACAGTGTGGAGGTGGTAGATGCTGTGTTCAAACTGCACACCGCCTCAGAGCCAGGATTTTTCCTGCTGTACCAGCTAAAATGTCACTGAAGCCAGTGCAGCAAGGACATGGTGAGGACAGGGTGGCATGCCTCAGGTACACCTGAGCCCCACGGAGTCCTCGGGGGGCGCAAACGCCTGGCCGCAGCATCTGCACTCCTTCTAACCTGAGCTTGGGGCGGGTTACTTGTTCTTCCTTGGAGCTGGGCTTTCCATTATTTCTATCGTGTGGTACCGTGGTTTACAAATTGTTTAGACAGGCCGGGCGTGGTGGCACACACCTGGAATCCCAGCACTTTGGGAGGCCAAGGCGAGCGGATGACCTGAGGTCAGGAGTTCGAGATCAGCCAACATGGTGAAACCCCGTCTCTACTCAAAATACAAAAATTAGCTGGGCGTGGCGGGGGACACCTGCAATAACAGCCACTCGGGAGGCTGAGGCAGGAAAATTGCTTGAACCCAGGAGACGGAGGTTGCAGTAAACCGAGATCGCACCATGGCACTCCAGCGTGGGTGGCAGAATGAGACTGAAATATACAAAAAAAATCCAAAAACTGTGTTTAAACCTCAGAAGGTTTGATGAAGGGCCTCAGATGCCACCGAAGGGGTAGGACTGGGCAGGGAGGAAGGGGGAAGGGGAAGGGGAAAGAGCTCCAGGTCCCTAACTCAACTCCACTGAAACAGAGATGCTCTGCATTTGTTCGGTTTATTTTTTCCAAACGTACTGCTGATGGGGTATATCATATTTCCACTTGCAGAAAATGTCAAGTGATCTGCATTTTACATTGTTATTTTATCATTTCTCCTATTTCTCTTTTATTCAAATGTGAGAAAATCATAATAATGTAGCCATTCCCAGGCAGATTGCTTGAGCCCAGGAGTTCAAGACCAACCTGGGCAACATGGCGAAACCCCATTTCTACAAGAAATACAAAAAAAAAAAAAAAAAAAATAGGCTGAGCATGGTGGCCCATGCCTGTGGTCCCAGCTACTTGGGAGGCTGAGGCTGGAGAATCACTTGAACCCAGGAGGCAGAGGTTGCAAAGCCGAGACTGCACCACTGCACTCCAGCGTGGGTGTCAGAGCCAAACCTCGTCTCAAAACAAGAAAAATCAAAAATCGACATTTTACTGATTAAGTAAATCTCAGAAATCATATTATCTCCTCCCTAAACATCTCAATATGCGTTTCTAAAGAATGCAAACTTATTCTTTTAAATATATATATTTATCGGCCAGGCGCTGTGGCTCAAGCCTGTAATCCCAGCACTTTGGGAGGCCGAGGCGGGTGAATCACGAGGTCGAGAGATCGAGACCATCCTGGTCAACATGGTGAAACCCCGTCTCTACTAAAAGTACAAAAAACTAGCTGGGCATGGTGGCGCGTGCCTGTAATCCCAGCTACTCAGGAGGCTGAGGCAGGAGAATTGCCTGAACCCAGGAGGCGGAGGTTGCGGTGAGCCGAGATCGCGCCATTGCACTCCAGCCTGGGTAACAAGAGCGAAACTCCCTGTCTCAAAAAAAAAAATAAAATAAAATATATATATATATATATATATATATATATATATATATATTTATCACATATAAACATATTTTCATATATTCATTCTCTATCCCTGTACGTAGGTAAAGATTTTAAAATTCTTACCTTGACTCTGGACGTAGATCTTACCCTTAGCATGCGGCTTTTGAAAGGAGGGGAGAAAGCAAAGAAAAGTACATTAGATAGTCCATGACAAGCGCTTTTTAGAAATAAAATGAAGGTCATTCACAGCAACAAAAAAAGCCTCCTGGAAAACAGCACAGAGAATCATCTACACAGCTGCTCAGACTCATCACTCCTTAGGAGCAAAGCGTTACATCTGCTGTTAATAGGTCTTGCCATTGAAAACACAGCACGGATAAGGTGAGAAGCACACACATACAAAAAGTCTCTTAAATGAGACCTAATGCAGTTTTGTGATTTTTCAGTTGCTAGGTTAGCGGAGAGATGACTGAAGTCCAGCCAGAGAGCATGCCAGCCCACGCGGGTCCTGCCTGGTGTGGAGGCGGAAGTGTCGGGAAGCATGGTCTGGGTTAAGCAGCCCTGAGGGGAAGAATACTCCCACCACCCCCCAGAAAAAATGAAGAAAAGAGCACAAGGACAAGGAGGAACTGCCAAGATGTTGGAAACCAAAGAGGCCCCAGGAGGCAGATCCTTCCAGACAAGCCAGGACAGCGCGTGGGAAGACCCGGTAGGAGCCTCCTGACAGGCCTCCCTGGCACCGAGGAAAAGGCAGTGCTTGCAGGACCGATCTGCGCATTTGTACCAAGATATCAACTTACTATTCCTTGTCGTGTTTTCTGGCAGAATGTCACAAAACTGCCAGAGAGAAACAATCCATTTCTCAGTTCATGTTGAAGCAGTGGCAGAAATATTTTTAAGATGACGTTTAGATGCAAGGAGTGAGACCCTCTTCAGAACGGCTGACGGGGCAAGTCAGTGCCAAGGGCGGTTTCTCTCAAGGAACTGAAATAGACAGTCATTTTGGTGAAAAAGTCCAAAAATGGACGTCTTTGTGTCATGTGACCTAAGCCTGATCAATGCATGAAATGACTGAAGTGGCTAGGTCCCTGGAGGTCACCCAAGTCACACCCCTGCCTTTTCGCAGTGTAGGCATACAGTGTGGTCTTTAGGGTGCCAGGGAGCCCACAGCACTGCCTGGGGTATGCTGGTCCACTTTGGACATTGTCCCCACGTCAGGTTTATATTTTGGGACACAAGCTAAAGGTGAAGCAGCTGTGCCCAAGGCGAGACCATCAACAGGAAGGAGACTGGCCCTCCCCAAGCCTGGGAAGGTTTGGCAGAGGCAGCATCCAGGCAGAAGGTGGGAGGCACAGCAGGGCACGGTGGCTCACCCCTATAATCCCAGCACTTTGGGAGGTGGAGTCAGGCAAATAATTTGAGGTCAGGAGGTCGAGACCAGTCTGGGCAACATGGTAAAATCCTGTCTCTACTAAAAATACAAACATTAGCTGAGCGTGGTGGCATGCGCCTAGAATCCCAGCAACTTGGGAGACTGAGGCAGGAGAATCGCTTGAACCCGGGAGGCAGAGGTTGCCGTGAGCTGAGATTGCACCATCGCACTCCAGCCTGGGCAACAAGAGTGAAATTCCATCTCAAAAATAAAAAAAAATAAAAACAAAAATAAAAAAAGGAGGTGGCGGGGACACACGAGGCTGCAGTGGTTTTGTCCTTGGTGCCACATTTTGTATTCAGCTACCGGAAGCACCTCAAGCCTCCAGAAGTCTTGACTCCTCCCCAATTTACCATGTAAGCAAGCGGGCGTGTGTGCCATTCCAAATGCCCTTAACATAGTAAACCTTTGAGAGTTTCAAAAACCTCTTTTCTACCAATTAAAAAAGATATTAACTTTAATGAAAAAAAAGGGGGCTAAAAGCAACCATTTGAAAATAGAAAATTGCAGTTCAGAGCCCTAAACTATTCCTTTCACTGAATTATGATTTCCCTGGAAAGCTGGAAGAGATGTTACTGGATGGAGCCCAGCGGAGGCTCGGTTTTCTTCCTGAACCAGCCCTGTGTCCAAAACACTCGCCGGGAAGCATCGTTAAGGTGGATGTTAACGCACTCACGATAGAACAGCATGGCATCTAACTTTCTTTCTTTTCTTTTTTTTTTTTTTTTTTTTCTTGAGAGGGAGTTTTGCTCTTGTTGCCCCGGCTGTTGTACAGTGGCTGATCTCAACTCACCACAACCTCCACCTCCTGGGTTCAGGCCATTCTCCTGCCTCAGCCTCCTGAGCGGCTGGGATTATAGGCATGCACCACCATGCCCAGCTAATTTTGTATTTTTAGCAGAGACAGGGTTTCTCCATGTTGGTCAGGCTGGTCTCGAACTCCTGTCTTCAGGAGATCTGCCCACGTCGGCCTCCCAAAGTGCTGGGATTACAGGCATGAGCCACCATGCCCAGCCGGCATTTGACTTCCAAGTTAATATAAGTATTTGACAATAACAGATTCAACATAATCCTAGATAAATATCAGGCGAGGCAATATAGAGTTTATAGTCTTCGTCATTATTTTCATTGGAAATATGCTCTGCAATCGGCGATATGTAAACTCAAAATGTTGCTGTCAAGAAATTTCTTTTTCCACCAAGAAAAAAAAAATGACTAAACCTTGTATCTCAGCTCTGTAAGCAGAAGGAATTGACTGAATGTGAAGATTTCTCGACTTCTCTGCTGATCTCGTATCTCTGAGCATGACATTGCTAAAATCAATTGAAAAGCATTTTTAAATGGCATTTTAAGGTCTCATCCGGGCAAACAGGAAACAGAGCTGCAGTGGAAAAGAAGTCTGGACCTGAGTTATTTTTAATCATCGCAATAAAAGAAATCTGGCAAAAGACAATTGGCTTATATTGATTTTGAAAAACATTGTCTACATGGAAGTGTTACAAATACAAATTAGCTTTCTTTGCTCAATATTTATTACTGTTCTATCTGCCTCAAAATAACACGAGTCAAAGTCCCCTGTGTACTGCCCGCCCTGCAGGTTAGCTCATCAGTGCACACAACGGCAAACACTGAGTTGTGTCTATGAGCAACTGCTACGTCTTTGGCTCGTTACTGGATATAAAAAGCCAGGATCCTATTGGATAGATACCTATGAATAGATGGACTTCTAACAGATCCAAGGGCTAACTGTTATCTTTTCATGCTGCAATAACATCAACAAAAGAACTTCCCTCCCATTCTTTGGCTAAATAGAACCCAGAGATTCACCTTCTAAAGTTAAACTTCCTACAAATGAAAGCCACAATAGATTATTTTTGAAATATAGGCACAATTTTATGCTCTACAGATGACAAAAATAATAATTTTTGTTCTGAAATTATAATACAACTTCAGATTGTGGCTTTGTTAAAACTACTTGTAAAGCAATTACAAACTGCTTAAAAGAAATGATGGTTCATACATGTAAAGTTACAAAATATATGTATGCCACACAACACGTAGAAATTGGGCACTTTTCAAGAATACAGTGTCTTTTTTCCTCCCTCTACTCTCTTCCCGTAGAAATCTGTTATCATGCTTAAAAAAAAAGAAAATAATATTCAAAAGATGGGGAGATTCAGCCTTGCCACTGAACTCCTGCAGTGGAGCCAAAAAACAATTTTTCTTTTCCTTTTTTTTTTTTACTAGGAAGGACTTTAATCATTTTTCTTAGAAAAAAACATTTCCAGAAACTAACACTTCACAACATTTTAACAACAAAGAAAGAGGTTTTCAACAGTTGGAATTCTAGAATATTAGGAAGACATGTTGGTATCCTGCTTCATTACAGATGGATGGCACAGATCAGAAATGAAAGACTGGCTGCAAAGCCAATATCAGAACCCAGTGGAACGACACTTGCATCTATAGTGTCTCTTCCTTCCTGCTGTCCTCCCTGTCCCACAGAAACGCCAGCCACCATACAGAGTGCAGTGGCACGTAGCTTAGCTGCCAATCTTCCCCTTTGGGTAGGAGAACAATGTTTCCAAAAAAAAAAAAAAAAAGAGAGAGAATATACATGGGTGAGATGAGAAAGAACTGTTACAAGTAGACTGGGATAAGATTCTATCAGGTCCAACATGGAGCAGACAGAGATGAAATTAACACAATCCGGCTGGGTTTGGGGGCTCACACCTGCAATCCCAGCACTTTGAGAGGCTGAGGCGGGTGGATCACTTGAGGTAGGAGTTCGAGACCAGCCTGGCCAACATGGTGTAATCCTGTGTCTACTAAAAATACAAAAATTAGCCAGGTGTGGGGGCAGTGCCTATAATCCCAGTCACCTGAGAGGCTGAGGCAGGGGAATTGCTGGAACCCAGAAATGGAGCTGCAGTGAGCTGAGATCGTGCCACTGCACTCCAGCGTGGGTGACAGAGCAAGACTCTTCTCAGAAATAAATAGCTAAATAAATAAAAATAAAACAATCCAGGACCCTGAACAAAATCAAAGGATGCCCGTGTGGCACCCAATCTAGTGGGGCGACTCAAGAAACAGGAACATCAACAGGAAAGTTCCAGAGAAGATTTTTGTTTCTTTTTTTTTTTTTTTTTTTCACTAGCTTTCTTTTGTTGGCACTTATATAGTATATTTCTCTTTCATTCTTTTACTTTCAAGCTTTATTTATACTTTTGTTTTCCTTTTTCTTTTGGAGATAGGGTCTCTCTCTGTCACCTAGGCTGGGGTGCAGTGGTGCATCATATCATATTTTCCTTTTGACTAATTAGCATGTGAATTGCAGTGATATAGAATGTGTAATTTTCTTTCTTTTTTTTTTTTTTTTAGAATAAAGAAGAGGAAGAAAGAGAAAGAGGAAGAGGGAGAGAGGATGGGGGTATTGCTTTATTGCCCGGGCTAGAATGCAATCTAAATATGGGTATGCCTATAATTGTCCTTAATAATGGAGACATAAAATAAAATGAGGGAAGAGAGTAACAAACAAGGAGCCAACCAACATTTCGTTTAAACTTCTAAGTTGATATGATGTGGTACCAATAAGAGTGTATATTTTGTATATTTAAAGTGGAGAGTTCTATAAATGTTAATTACATTTACTTGTTCCAGATCTGAGTTCAAGTCCTGAATATCGTTGTTAATTTTCTGTCTCATTGATCTGTCTAATATTAATGTTG